GGCGATGCCTATTTGTAATTTCTGCTGCAAATGATGAATTCTATGAGGAGCTGTTGACTTTGATACAGAAAGCAAGATGTTCAGATGTAGTCGTAATGGCAGGTGACTTTAATGGTGAAATAGAGAGGCTGAGTCAATCGGAAAGAGATTTGGGAAGTATCTACAATATCCTATGCCAACAAGCTGATAACAATGATCGTCTGTTGGAGTTTTGTTCGGACAATCACTTGTTTTTGGCCAGGACTAATTTTAGGAGTAAAAAAGAGACAGTCTCACAGCATCTACTGATACTAAATCAACGATGGACACAGATAGATCAGATTTCTGAAAGCCAGGGGTCATTGGAGAGGATGGGTGGAGGATTGTCGCTCTTTCTGGAGTATGGTTTTGACTTTGATCACGCGTTAGTGTGGAGTCGTGTATGTGAGTGCCTTACTGGTTGTAGGAAGCAGGAGATAGTTAGGCCTGTCTTTGCTCGACTGAAGGATGACAACGTGAAGTAGGTGTTTGGGGAGTGGGTATTGAAGCATTTACCTGAACGTGACAGCCATGCTGATTCTGAGGAAAGCTGGTGTGGTAAAGTGAGTTTGCTGTAAATGCAACGGTGAAGACAGTTGGTAGCGTAAACTCGAAGGATAACGAACGTCATTTGATTTCCGTGACGTTATCCGAACAGATTGATGCGAGAAGACTGATTCGAGCTGCGTCTGATCACAATGAGAAGGGGAAGAGATTTAAATGTAAGTTGACCAAGAGTCCTCGCGCTTGTTCGTGATGAGTGTTGGGTGAGGAAAGTGAGAGAGATGGGTAAGGCATCAGGGTTAGGTAACATTCGTCAACTATTTAGGTTTGTCAAGGATGCCGATAAGAGGAAGATGTTGGTTAGTGTAACCATCACCGAGAAGGATGGGACGGTGATAACATTTCAGGCCAGATGCCTAGAGCGTTTGGTGGAGCCCTTTGAAGGCCAGTTGAACTGGCCCACAACAACGCTTTAGTTGCACGGCATACAACCCGAACCAGAATGGGAGGAATATGTCGTCGTCAAACGCTCAGTGAAGTTGATAAAGGATGGGAAGCAGCTCTACGTGAGAGTTTGACACCTGAAGTTTCCAAGGATGGGAGTAGGGAATTGCTGATTAGAGTGACGGAGGTACTAGGTAGTGTTCGGGTATCAGTGATAGTCACATCAGACTAGTGTACTTCACTGATCACTGATCATCGTAGTATATAAGAAGGGAGAAATGTCTTGTGACAACTATAGAGGAATTAGTTTGACGAATATCGTGTCTATAGTTATGACACGAAACTGGAGCTGAAGAACGGTGAACTGAAGAGAACCAGTCAGGTTTCAGATAGAGCTGGAGGAGTGTGCATCAATCAAATGTTTAGCATCCGACAGATTCTGGGACACAGGCATGCCTACTGACCAGACGCCGACTCTGTCTGACTGTCTACCATGAGTTATCGTGGCAGTGTCTGATTGTGAGGGGAGTACTGAGACAGTATATAGTGCCTATCGACGGTCTCTACTTGAACTCTCGCAGCGATGTCAGAGTTTATGGAGAGTTGCTATGTGGATTGATGACAACTTGTTGTGTTTGCCTTGGATATCAATTGTCGCTGTTCCTAATTAACTTCATCATAGATGTATTAGTGGCCACAAGCTTAGATACGTCTGACTTCAGAGGGATTGACCTACTCCGTGGGGGGTATATTAAGTTGACTTGTAGTATGCAGACGATATTGTTCTGATAGGTAAAAATGCTGACAAACTTCAGGGTCTTTTGGACGGGTTGATGAGAAATCTGAGTAAGTTTTTTTATATGCTTCACTGGCACCTGTCAAATGTAAGGTGGTGCTTCAAGACTAGTCTGGTGCAAGTACTCCGAGTTTAATGATGGGGAGTGAAGTGGTGGAATGTGTCGACGACTTCACCTACTTAGGTAGTGGGATCAGCTCGAATGGAGTGGTTTCTGACGAAACCTCAGCTCGTATACAGAAAGCCTGTTTATCATTTGTCGAATTGCATCATCTTTGGTGCAGACTGTTGAAATATCCGACAGTCTGTGAAAGGATTAGTGTACTGCGCTTCAGTTCATTCTATATTGTGGTTCATGGGTGTTGAAAGAATAATATATGACGTGATGACAGTGTTTTGATCATAGGTGTCTTTGTAGCATTGTTCGCCTGTGGTGGAATCAGCATATGATGAACATTGAGGTCAATCGAGGGGTTCTAAGGAATGAAGTCAAGTCAGTCAATGAGGTTGGCAACCTCAAGTTCGTTAGGTGGTATGGACATTGGTTGTGCAGCCGAGCCACTTGCTGTGTTGATGTTGAATGTTAACCTAAGTTGAATTGTGTTGTAATAAGGCCGAGGGTGTTGCAAGAGGGCAAGTAGGATGCCATACGTAAGTTTATCGGTGGTATTCCACTCAGCTAGCATGTTAATCGGGAAGAGAAAAGCCTGAACCGGTTATTCATTAAGCACAGAGTTGCGAGAAGACAAAGCTATCTTGATATAGCGTGTAATGCTTCGAATTAGTTACGGGTTAGTGGTTGATCTAGCAATGATGAAGTTGATCTATGCTGTTGAGTGAATTGTTAGGATATTTATTTCATTATTGGGCAACAAAGGGAAGTCAGTTGATAAGGTTGTGGACCGTCACAGGTTTAGATGGCTGGGATGTATGCTAACCATGCTTAGTTGCCGTTCTTCCCGTCGTGCAATGTTAACTGACATAGATTCAGGTTTTAAAAAGTTATTAGTGACCAGACCAAACGATTTCACTAGCCAGTGAAGTTTGAGAGATGGTCTAAGCGGTATAGGGGCCAGGTGACATAGCTGTGAATTGATTTCAGTGATGCAGATGTATCCACACATAACTTTCATCTTCCCATAATCGTTTTGCAGGATTTCATCATTGTTTCATTCCTCCTTGTTCTCTTTCCACTACTTTCTACCACTTTTGACTGTTTTCTCCCTTATTGCTTTATATTTCATCGCAGTGCATTCTCACTTGATTTGCTGAAATGTATGGCAGCTTGTGCTATTGCCGGACTGATAGCTACCTCTTCGACATCGTGGTCGCGCTTGCACATTCAAATGATTCAATGAGCTATGCTGATGGAACGCTTTTTCCCTCGATCTCCTACCATATCACAGAGAGGTCTGTTAGATGATGGTAAGAAAAGAGGCACTTACCGTTATAGTGTCAATTTTTACGCCATGAAGTGGATCCGGGGGTAAATTCGTACTTTCTGGTTAAACGGAAGTATAACAGCAGTAGCACACTTTCCTCTGCTCTGTGGCGTAACGGTGCTGACGATATGAATTCATAGTCGAACTTGCGCAACACCGACTAAGCTAACAAGCTTTTAAAAAGTTTGTATGACTAGCTTCAAGCAGATTTCCCTTGGGACTTGAGGTCACCGAGTAAATTTTCCAGACACCTCAAGAAGTCGTTGCCTTCCATGATGTGGACAACCAGGAAGGACCGACCGCCGTCACAACTCTGTCAGCGGTCAAGATCCCAGAGACCACCATTCACCTTCCAGGTCCTTTACTTCTAGTTTTTCTTGACATCTCTCAGTCGATAACCCTACATCATCTTATCTTTGATTTCCTCCAGCTATGCAGCTCTCGATAACGAACTGGATTCACGGAATAGCATCCTTGGACTGTTGTAACTGTCCGCCAAACTACACATTGGTGCTTTCAATATCCATACCCTCCGTCAAGTTGGCTGAAAACCTTAACTAGCTAAAGCTCTAGCATCTCAGGCCATGGATGTGTGCTGTGTTTGTGAGAAACGCATATAGGACCCAAGTGTGGTTATTCACGCAGCCTCATCCGACCAATATGGTGAATCCCCAATATTCACCTTTTGCGTTTCTGGAGATTCGATGGCTAGTTCTCATGGTCTTGCAGGTGGGAGGTGTAGCTCTGAGTCCTGAGGCAGAAAGTGCACTCATTAGTTGGATCTCGGTTGACAGTCGACTGTGCACTGTTCGACTAAATGGCACACTATGAACTAAAAAGAAGAATAAAACTCACCGTTGTCTCTTCCCAGTCTGTGCTTACGCACTAATTGACTACAGTTTGGAAGAAGGTAAGGGATAGTTCCATTGAAAATTGTCTAACCTCCCACTGGATGCCAAACATTCAGAGGGAGGTCGTTGTGCAGGTAATTTCAATGCACAGGTGGGTAGACTAAGTCAGCCAGAAAGGCACTTAGGTGTCACCTTTGGAATCCGACTGATAACGGTGATCGGCTACTAAAGCCGCTCAGCTAACCTTTTTATTTCTAGCTAGCACAAACTTCAGACATAAAGAAAGACACTGTCTGACGTGGCGTCCACCAAGCTCAACTCAACCGTGGACATTGCTGTCAGTTATTGCTGGGGAGGGATGATGGAAGATTACCACTCCTTCTGCAGTACATGTTTGGATAGCGACCACTCGTTGGTTCTAACGTCTCAACAGACATTAAAAAACTTAAGCAACGGAAAGCTTAAGAGTGCAGCTCAACAATGAAAGCATTAGTGCCTCTTTCAGTGAGAGACCGGCTAGGCAGTTATCAGAACGGAACACCATCACTCATCCAGAAGAAGCCTGACACCATCTCCAATCTGCTGTAAAGCAGGGTTGAAGACCATAGCTGCCTCTCAAACAGTGGTTGAAAGAGCCAATGGATATCAACAGCTTCTTCTGAATTTATGAATGTATGCCTACACATACCTGGAGGTTCCGAGCACAATGGGTAGTGGAAACAGGTCAAG